GTTAATTTCGGCAAAGCTTTAAGCGAAAATATTTCTGGAGTTCTCATTCCGTATGAATTTCGAAATATTATACTACAAGCTTAAGCTACAGAAAAGCGCTTTCTTTATGTAACTATTTTGATACCCTGAACAGGGTAAAAGTTTGTAATACCCAGAAGGAAACGTCTGAAACCCTATCAAGTATATACTTGCATATAAATAAGTGATTTAGCCATGTTCGTCTGTATGTACATATAATTATACGTGAACTAGTCCCTCAGTTTTTGAGACATCGATCTGTAATTTTGCTTTTCTTCCCAAGGACCGTTATAGCATATAGCTGTCATACAAATTGACAGATCAAAATCAAGCTCTTGTATGGAAAAATTTTTAATTTCACGTGATATCTTCTGGAAATTCGGCACACATTATTGCCCAAGGCCACGATAAAATATACGAACATATTATTTATATAGAAGCACGATAACATATAGCTGTCATACAAAATGACCGAACAAAACTATGACAAAAATCTTTTCATACCCTTTTATGCTTTAAGAAATGCACATGAGAAAGGTTTTATGTTATAGCTAGTTAAAATTTTGTCTTGTATATTACTAACTTTCGAAAAATTGTATCTTTATTTTATATCAGGTGAAACCTGAATACCGACCCGGTACTTTCATTCTGACCGAATTGCGAAAAATTATACAAAAATATCACTATTTGAAAACTGTGTTTTTAATAATCATTGCAAATTTTGAAATCACTATTTAATTTGTTTATGACAGATCAGGTGGCAACTCTATAGCGTGTAATTTTTACAAAAATACGCCACTTAAATAACACTTATTTCACATTCGTTTTGTATTATTTAAATTTTTTGATTATCATCTATTAAGAAATTAAAAAAAAGTGGCAACGCCGCTTAAAATAACAATTAATTAAAGTTTTAAGAATATTAAAAGTTTTGTAGATTACAATTTTATCAAAAAATAATTAAATATTTTTGGACAGGTGGTAACACCATATAATAATATTTATGTAAGAAATTAATGTTTTAAGTATATTAAAAGCGTTGTAGTTATATAGTATTGTACATTTTAAACGCAAAATTTACTTAAAAGAAAAAAATAATTAAATAATTTTAGACAGCTGGCAACATCATAAAATAGTTTTTGTACTAGAATCGTGTTTAGTACTTGTGGCAGCAGACATAATATGTAAACATAAATTATAAAATATTTGTTGTCCTTATATATGGACTTTTTTATACAGGTGGCGACTACGTAAAATAAATTTTTTCTGGTACATTGATTTTTTTAATGTATGTATGTCTTTATGTAGAAACGCATTATTATTTCGTCTATTATTTAATTTTTATATTTTTTTCATATGCTTCATATCTGATTGTGGCAACCTTTTGCTATAGTTTTTGACAAATTCTCTTGGCCGATTCAGACTTTATGTGTATACACATATATTTACAAAAATATTTGTTTGCCTCATATGCAGCTGTATCTACGAAGTACATGAAATTCTTCAAGCATATAACAAAAGAAATCGGCTCGAAAATTGTCTGTAGCCTACCATTTAAGTGCTGACGAAATGTATAGCACTGCACACACACACACTTAGCATATAAAATAAATTCTTTTAATGAAATCGAGGGAATAGAAGTATTTGCTTGAAGCAGAGTGTATAGCAAACAATGAATTAGAAAAAAATTAAAAATTATATACAAAATTGCCACAGCTTTTAATTTATGCTTTCAAACACAAAACATTGTTGTCGACTGCTTTTGTTTTCTTTCAGCTACTCAAACTGATTGAAATTGATATTCAATAGCAATAGACAGCAACAAATATTTTTCGCATAAATCAATCAATTGTTTCTGTTATTGGAAAATAAACAAATACTTGTTGTTAATTTGAAAGAATTTAACAATGAAAAGAATTCGGATGCCTTGGTCATTTTGTAGAAAATGTTTTTTTTTTGATATCTGCGAGTAAATTTAAAGAAATTTTAACGATTTTATTTATTTATTTATTAGTATAAAGTACTCGTAGTCTTGTGACAGTAAGAAGTTTTGCTAAAATACGATTTTATTATACACAATTGGAAAAAAAATTAATTTAAATTATAGAATACGATTTCTGTTTAATTTCCATCAATACATAACCAAGCTTTTTCATAACTACAAGTCTAAAGACTAAATTAAACGTGACACACTTCCAAAAACGTACAGCTTTGACATTTGGGACCATATATTATATTTACAGGAATTTTTTCTATATGTATATCTTTATCAGTTCCCACAAGAAAATTCGCAAAAACTTTTTTGAATGAAGTCTAATCCTAAATGAAAATGAACTCATTGCGCTTTTTATAATGGTTCAAAAAAATTATGAAAAAATAACTACTTTTTCAAAACCATAAGGCTTCTAGTGCCGGTATTTCGAGCGGTGAGTTATGATATTAAAGAGTTAAAGTAGAACTAGAAGTCAAAAGAGTCGGAAATTTTTTACTTTTGTACTCCAAACTAATTTTTATACCCTGACCAGAGTAAATTAGATTCGCCACAAAGCTTGTAACAGCCAGTAGGAAACGTCGCAGACCCTATAAAATATATATGGTATACATATAAGTGATCAGCTTGACGAGCTGATTCGATTTAACCATTTTACTTTGTCTGTGTGTATATACTTGTACGTGAACCTAATTTTCTGAGATATCGATCCGAAATTTTGCACGTCGTGTTCTAACCAAAACGTTGCTGGTTTGTCGGAGCCGGCGATATCGGACCACTAAAGCATACAGCTGCCTTAAAAACTGGCCTGTCAGAATCAGATCTTTATATGGAAAAGTTTTTATTTGACGAGATTTCTTCACGAAATTTAGTACGAATTATTGATAAAAGCTTTAGAATAATCTGACAAGAAATTGTGCACATTGGTCTATTATTGCATATAGCTGCCATACAAACTGAACGATCGGAATTGATTCCTTATATGGAAAACTTTTTTACTTGACAAGATATATTCACAAAATTTGACACATACTATTGCCCGAAATAATGCTACAATCCTCGAATATATTGTTCAGATCGGACCACTATAGCATACTACCACTGCCATACAAACTGAACGATAGGAATTAAGTGCTTTTATGAAAATCTTTTTAATATTTGAGAGGTATTATAGCTTCGATGCAGCCGTAGTTAACGTTTTTTCTTTTTATTCAATTTTCTGCTTTGGAACATCGAATTTGCTACTTTAAATAAAATTTTAATATCATATTTATGTCTTTTCTAAACAAAGTGCGTACTAAATTCTCAACTATAAAGCGCTTTAGATTGACAGTTTAATATTTTCCACTTTGAAAATTCATAAAATCGCTAAAAAATAAAAATTTTCCTGTTAAACGATATAACAAAGTGGCATTTTATGTTTTTTGTTGTTACAACAACACTTACAACAAACGTTTCTATGCATTTACATATGAAAATGCAATAAATGCGCTTGAGTATGTATGTCTGCCGGCTAGCGTTTGACTAAAACGTGCCTATGCACACACACAGACACAACAAGTGCACTTCACGCATTTTACGAGCGCTTAATACAGTTATCAATTCGTAGCAGAACCTGCTTGTCGCCGGGCAATAAAAGCAGAATTCGACGCCCACGCAATGTTATTTCAAACACAATGACTTCATTGGCAGCATTTATGATGCGCACACGCACACACATACACATGCTCACGTTAAATTAATATACCTTAACAACATTTGTAGCAACAAGAACTTATCATACCTAGCATACAAAGGGCACTAATTTATGCGCGCCCTAAAAGCCCTTTCAATTTCTTTACTACTTACGAGTTTTTATTTTTACTTTTGTAGTTGTTGTTGTGATTTTTTATACTTGTATTAGCGCCCAACGCTATTAAATGTCGTCATAAAGTAATTATATAAATTTGAAGTGTCACATTTGTATAAAAAACGCATAAAATATATAAGCAATGTATTACGAAGTGAGCGCTCGTAAAAAGCGTGTCAAATAAAATGGACTTTACATAAAAATGTATGTGTCAATAAAATTGAGTTTATGTGCTGTTCAAAATTCATATCGACAACAAAAAAGTACTGTGATTTAATTTTAAAAATATTGTGTGCAACTTGAAAAGTGTCAAAAATGTTTGAAGAGCAGCGTAAAATATGATATTGCATAAGAAGAAGTCACGCCCACGCTGCATGTAAATTTATAGTAGTGTAACTTGAAAGAGAGGTTAACAGAAATTTTATAACAATTTCAAAAATTAAGCTTTGAATGCTATAAAATACTGGTCGCACATAATTTGACGATAGATGGCGCGCCTATAAATCTATATTTGTTTATATCTTAAGAATGGAGTAATGCAAATTTTTCATAGGAACTGAGGGTGTTTGTCGAAGCGAAACTTGCTGTTCAGACACTGCTTTAAGTTTTCGAACTTTTAAAATGAAAGCAAGAAAATACGTTAACTTCGCCTGCACCGAAGCTATGTACCCTTCACAGTTGAGTTGATACTAAACCTAATAAACTTGCGTGACCTCAGCAGGCGTTGATTGATGACCAACTACCGTGCGACTGTGATACTCTTCTAGCCTAGAGTAGAACGCAGCAGAGCCACTGAACTATTTGTTCTTAGCAAGGTTCATCTTACCGCAATCGTTATAGTTCTTATTGCATATTGTCCAATAACCTTTCATACGGTAAGGCTAAAAATCTTTTTCAGCAGAAATTATAAAATTTGTAAGAATCTGAGATAGAAACCTCCAGCCACTTTTTCCTTCATAGTCCAGCTTTTGCAAGACTGACACTGAAACATGTCGGCAGTCATACTTTCGGCAGATATTATAGGCTTTACGACTCCACCTCACTAACCTTTATTTATAACTCATGACAAGTAGGTATACAATAATCTAAGCTATCCATCCAGCCCCTTAATTGGCTCACCAAAAATTATACATATTTGCTTACCTTTACTGCAGTGTTGATTTCGTTTAACTAGAGTGACAGCTGATCGTGTCATACATAAGTGACTCACTGTCATTCAATTCGCCCGTGTGCCTTTACAGCGCGTAAAACGGTGACGAATATTGAACATTTGTTGCAAACTGCAAACCAGAAAAAGACAGTAAAATGTTAAACAAACATTAAAAACAGAAGATGTGCATATGAAACTTAAATAAATATTAGCATAAGTGGAAATTCAAGGTAATAAAATTGAATGCTCGTGTATGACTAAGTGTTATTAGCAACGCATTAAACAAATATAATTTGTGCGATATAAATATGTGAAATTAATTTAAAAGAAATTATTGAGTTGTTGCGGCAATTAAACGATATTTATAGACAGCTAATCGTACAATATATATGTATGGTGACTATCATGCTCAAGAGGTATTGCGAAAAGTACAGGAAGGGTGTTAAAAGTAGTGTGTAAAATTATTGTTGCTTCAGTGCTTGAATGAGCTGCATGGTCTAGGACAATTTAGTGGAATTGCATTCATAGCTGACCATGAGCGGAGCAACCCGTCTGCCTTTTCGTTTTCTTCTATACCAATATGATTGGGTGCCTAAATGATTTTTATCGAGTTTCCCACAGCAAGTCTAGTCAGTTTTATAGTAAATAGATTACGATTTAATAGTTGCATAAATACGCTTTGCAATTTTTTCAATTAAATCTAGAACAATATTATTTTTAATGCTTAAAAAATGTTTGGAAATAAAAAAAATTATTGGTTGCACTTTCATTTTTTTCCTTTTCTCTGAATGCTTGTAAGGTAATAAAAACCGTGTCTCGTCAGCCTAATGATCGGCAAGTATGTGTCATTTCCTCTGATGCATTAAGCGATCATTAATGCCGACAATACACGATACAATCGCATACAACCGACCAACTGACAGCTCATCAATTAAAATCGCATTTCAATTAGTTAATTCACTGCAAATGTTTCAATTTCCGAACAGCATAATAAGTACATATTAGTACACAAAACAACAACAACAAAGTGCACGAAACAAAAGCCAATAAATATCAAGCATCATCATCATTAAAACAACTGCGCAAAGCTCCCAAAAAGGCGTAAGCGAAAAAAAAAGAATTACGAAAATCGAAAAAACTCCAAAAAGGTAAATAATTGAAAAAAAGTTGAAAAATCGGCGAGTAAAAAGGCAGCGAACAAAGCAGCGTATAATAAAAGAATCAGTTACTAAATAAATGCACGTTTCAATTTCTTATTATGCGGCAATTTTTTCTGTTCACATCCTTTTTGTGTTCTTCATACTTTTATGTTTTCGGTTTTATTATAACGATTTTTGTCGGTTTTTTTTTTTTTTGGTTTTTCAAACTTTTTGGCGCAATTTAAAAGTTAATTTACTTCTGTTGGCCGCAGGGGCCGAACGAACATGTCCAACACCACCCAGTCGAGTACACGAAGAGCACAAAAAAAGAAAAGCCACAAAAAGTGAGCATGAGTAGCGATGGGAACGTACGATTCGCGACGGGAAGAAAGATAGTTGGTAAGCAATCTGACAGCGGCAACAAAAATCGACAGGAAGAAGACAAAGTTATGCAGGTCATTTGGTAAATGCGGCATGACCGGCCGGAAAAAGGGAGTCTCACTCTTGTGATCGGCACGAATGTAGCTGTGGGCCAGCAAACGCGCGCTTCGTGTGGCGGGTCCAAGGGAAATGCGAACAATAGCCGGCAGCTGGCATAAATTGACCACCATGAAAACGTTCGTTGCAATTCATGCAACACTGGCGGCCAAAGCGATAACACGGTTTGAAAAAAGTAAAGGCAAACCACGACGTGGCAACTAAAGGAGGCAATCGAGATTGAGTCAAAGAGTTGAAACAAAAGAGTGCGCAACTATTGAAGTTTCAAGCATTATCAAAAGGAAAGAAATAAAGGGCAAAAAGTAACTAGGGAAATGTGGCAACAATGTAGCAAAAGGGGTGTGCAGAGCAAAGGAGTGTAATAAAGGCAAACAAGCTGCGGCTAACGGTTGTGATGTTTAGTTTTATTTCTCGACAGCTTGAAACAAAAGAACCAATAGTTTTTAAATCTGAAAAAAAATTGAAAGAAAGAAGTCTATGAGCTGAAATTTATGAGATATGGTATAGTGAGCAAAGTGAAACAAAGCTAAGTGATCTTGAATCTCCATACTTAAGGCTACGGCTATAAATATACCCCCAAACTAGATTTTCGAATAGTTTGTTGAGAGAGACTTACATAAGTTGCGCAGAATATGTGGTGTGGAGCCGTACTGTGGCATTGCTTACAATTTTTTTACGACGAAGACCTGGCGAGGCATTATTGGATGTCAGATAGTTTTTTCGTCTTATCGTGAAACGATGTGAAAGGACAAATTGGCTATATAATAAATCAAATACTATTACTAGGACATCGAAACCTCATTACTCAAGGACGCCTCTCAAATACAACATCAACAGATAGTTGTCTTTCCATAAGCTCTACCAGCGGCTACCCAAAAAGTACCGACACACTCAATCAAAATTTCTGAAAATATGCTTGCTTACGAGATATAAAAGGTTTATTTTAATGGACCCACTGAGAACTATCGAAAATTCATTATAACTTTGATCCAGTAAGTGGATTTCTCTAAATAAATCGGCCAATAGGATCTATATTTGACGAACAGTAAATATAAGCAACCAGTTCCTACGAACTAGCCATTTTCAATTCCTAGGTACTCCTTTTTATCCAAATTGCCTGCTCCTCATCTTATTCTTACTTATGATGCATGCATGATTTAATACGCGGCAATTTGATGATTAAACGCCGTATAGCCGATTAACTAGCCTGGTCGAGACTCTCTTCAACTGAATTGGTCAAGAATCAACACAAAGGAGCAACACCACAGTAATCCCGACAGCCTCGTGCAGGCGGCGCACAAAGAAGCTCGGATATCGCCTTACAGTCGGTTCAACTGGTAGCACAGTGTATCGTGAATTCCACTCACTCACTCACTACGCTTTCAACCTTTACGCCATCGATATGCTGTAAGCCAGTCATCGAGCCAGGTTCAATTGAATCGTCGCTGCATTGTTGAGTTGCCGCCTGGCAGCTGGCCGGAGACAATAAACCGTAGCGAATGCTAGTGAACTAATGACGGGCCGACCAACCAGCCTGGCAGACACTCACTCACAAGTGCTTCATCAATGGGCGTGCAGCGAGCCACTAATGGGCATATGCAATCAGTGCCGCTACCAAACCAAAGTTGCTTACTCTGCTTTTGCCGGCTCGACATGGCTTTGCTCTTTTGTTACTTTTTTCAATAGTTTCTTTTTGTTTTTATGTTTTTTCACTTTTTTCTTTCGTTCTTCCGTTTTTTGCTTTGAAATTGAAAACGAAAACATACCTGTTAAGATGGCAACACCACACTTGCCACTATATGTGGAAGAAATGTGAAAAAACAAACTTATAAAAATGCTTTTGAAAAATCGTCTGTAACGGCCTCTAAGAGAACATCAATTTTGCTCTGTGTTAGAACAGTGTGTTGTTTTGTCGAAAAAGTGGTGTATGCTTTGTTAGTTACTGCATGGTTTCGAAAATTTCGAACGGCAATTTGTGTAATGTTAAAAGTTTTGAGTCAAGCCAAAGGCATAATCACTCTCTTTCTAGTATGGAAAATTCGTCTTCTATAGAAAGTAAAGTAATTACTAAAAGTTTTGTACACTGGAATTAGATTCTGCTCAGATATTTGTATTGGTATTAGTAATGGTATTGTAATTGAATTTCAGTATTTAGAAGTAGTGAGTGGTATCCTGATTTGTTTTGGCATTTTTTTGGTATTTTTTCAATAGTATTGGTATTAGCACTGGTATTGGTATTAGTACTAGTATTGGTAATGGTACAGATTCTGGTAATTGGTACTAAAATTAATGTTGATTTTGGAAAAAGGTAAAGCAATATATATCTGGTATTTACGAAACGGTTTTGGTGACTTAGGTGCTATGTAATGGTATTTGTATTGGTAATTATACTGTTAGTTGTTTAATGTTATTCGAGCTAGATTGTTGTTGATTGAAAAATGCCGTAATTGTATTTGAGTTTGGCGCTGGTATTGGAAATACTTGTAATGATTATTATTATTATATATATGTGCGTTGGTGGTGAGTTTGGCGATATGTAATGGCATTTGTTTTGTAATTATAATTTTAATAATTTATTTATTTAATATTATTCGAAATTTAGGTACCGAAAAATGGATAAAGTACTCGTATCGATATTGTATAAGTGGTTGGCATTGGTGTTGGGAATAATATCAGAATTAGTACTAGTATTGGTATTGGAATTGGTAATCACATTTTTGTGGATTGAAATTTTTTTTTGGAAAATGTTAAGGATACATAAATTTCACGTATTATTGTTCGCAATTGTTGCTGTTGACAGAATTGATATTAGTATAATTTATCGTTGTCTGAATGGATATTAGCAGTAAAATGCGACCGTGGAGACGAAATCGATTTTAGATGTGGATTAAATATTATCATTGAAATTCATATTGCTTTTGGTATTGGTATTAATAATGGGTAATGGTAATTGTATTGATATGGGTATTGGTATTTATACTTGTATGGGTATTGGTATGGGTATTTGTGTTGGTATTGCTATTTGTACTTGTACTGGTACTGGTATTGCTATTGATATTGGTATTAGTATTGATATTGGGATTGGGACGGGTATTGGTTTTAATATTGGAATTTAATATTGGGTAATGGTATCGCTATTGATATGCGTATTGGTAGGTTTATTTGTATTTGTATTGCTATTGGTACTGGTATTGCTTATGGTATTAGTATTGATATTGGTATTGGTATTGATATTTGTATAAGTAGTGGTGTTTGTATTGATATTAGTATTGATATTTGTACTGATGTTGGTACTGGTATTGGTATTGCTATTGGTATTGGCATCAGTACAGCTGTTGGTATTTTTATTGCTGTTGAGATTGGTATTAGTGTTTGTGTTGGTATTGGAAGTTGTGTAGATTTTATGAAATGTTTAGGATGAAAGGTATTGTATTACATTGCTGGTTATATGGTTATGGTATTTACAGTGTTATTATGTTTGAAATGCTGTTACTACTTTTATCTTAACTATGTATAATTTTACTAATTCCAAACACAATTTTGCATTTTTGTGCAACACACTTCCCTATTAATCCCACAACAACACATTATCATCGCAAACAACACGACAGCAAGCAAAATATCTACGCATGCGCAACAACGTGAACGAGTGCGACCACCGCCCGCTGCCATTTGGCACATAAATCAAGTGCTGACAGATCGACAGCTGAGCAGACATAAACACACATACAAACATACAGCAGACGTAGTAAAGTCAAAGAGACATAACGACGGCCACCTTGTGGTTGTTATTCGGTGCTTTAGTGAGTAAATTTAATGGATTCCTTCGTGCCTCGTACTTTTTGTCGCGCTATGTGCGGTAAACTTGCTGCGATGTACTTATAAATAACACATTCTGAGGCAGATAGCTTTATTTGCTTGCTCTGGCGTTTTAAAATTCAACTTATAAAATAAAATGGCAAAAAATTAAGAACAAGAAAATAAAATTAATGTATGTATGTATGCGTCTCTTTGTATTTGGTGTTTGACTCCCGCTAAAATGAATTGATTCGCTTCTAATTCAAGCGCAACCAATGGCGAGTGCGAAGGAACCTGTGTGGTTGTCGATGCAACAGGCAGTGCATTCTCAGACGGACGCGCAAACAAACTAAAAAGCAAACAAAATTTTTTTTGCAAGCTACTATAGAAATGCGTTTGTGTGTGTGTATATGTTTGCACGCGTTTTTTGCTTTTGCATCATAAAACCCATAAATAATTGCAACTTTTAAACGCCTCTAAGCCTTGGCAGTAAAAATACTGAGTATATATTATATATACATACATATTTTGCATTTTTCTGTCATTTGCTTTTATTTATGTTTTTATTATTGTTTCCGAAGTGTAGTTTGCTTTTGCATTTATTTTATTTTTCGATTTTCAATTTTATGACTTGAAATTTTTATTGCATTTCATTTTGGTCCACATTCACCTCACATTTGGCTAGTGACGCGCGTACCCAAATGCAACTGCTAACGTAAATACTTATTTTGTATATATGTACATATGTATATATTTGTGTGTGTGTTGGTGCACTATTGCAACAACTACAAAACATGCTTGTAGCATTTTTACGAAAATAGCCACTGATGTCATCTTTCGCCGAAAAATAAACACCAACTAAACAAACAAATGCATCGTTTGGCAATTGTACATACATACATACACATACCATATAACATATACGAGTATGGCCATATATCTCTGCTGCTTAGTTATCTGCCTTTGTACTTGTTCGCTTATAATACATTGCTTTTCTTCGTAAGAAACGCAACAGCTTTGTGAATCAGTTTCGCATGCAACCAACAAGACTATTGCGAAAGGTAAGCGTAAATGTTTGTGTGTATGTGTGTTTAGATGGAATTGAGATATGAGGTGTTTTGCTTAATTGTTTTAAAGAAAACAATATGTTGCAAAAATGGTGTAGCAATTTGATTCTCAAACGGCATATGTAGTTCGAAAACTGGAGTCAGTGTATGCATAAAATTCATTAAATTAGTTTAAGTTTCAAAAATAATTGTAAATAATTTCTTTTTTATTTAAGATTTTTTTTTTTAACAAAAAACCAAATTTTTTTTTTTTTTTTATTTTTGTTTAAAAATTTTTTGTAATTAATTTACAATAATTATTCAAGCTTATAATTAATTACTAATTAATATATAATATATTATTTTTGTTTTATTTTAATGTCAATTAATTTATAATTATTTGGTAATTATTCAAGTTAATTATTATATAAATAATTTTTCAAGCTCTTAAATATGTCATTAACTGTATAATTGATAACAAATTAATTTAAAAAGTTTTGAATATTTTTAAATATCATGCAAATTTTTATATATTTTTTTCAAAAACAATAATTTCTTTTCTAAATTTTTTTGTTTAAAGTTTACGCTTCTAAGCTTTATATATTTTTTTCTTTCAATACAAAAATCAACATTTTTATTTTTTAAATTTTGTATAGATATAATTGTAATTTAATTTTTTAAAAATTAATCAATCTCTTAAATAAATTATAAATCTTTTAATTAATTAAAAATTATTTAAAAGAAGTTGAAGTTTTTAAAATAAAACATAAGCATGTACATAGGTTTTTCCATAAATAAAATTTTTTTTCTAAATTTTTTTTTATGTTTTTTAATTTAAATTTTTTATAATATTAAAGAATTGAAAAAAAAATAAAAATTTATGTAGCTCCTTTAATCTGAAATAAATAATTTAGTTCTGAAATTTAATTTGCTTAAATTATCTGCAGTTTTACATCTAATTAAAATTAATTATTCTAAATTAATTAATTTAAATTTTTTTTCTAGTTGAAAATTTTAAAATAAAAAAAAACAAATGCTTTACAAACTTTCCAAAATCAATTAAATTTTTTAGAAATTTTAAAAATTTTCGTAGATTTGTTTGTTTTTGAAACAAAAATTTTATTTTTTTATAGTTTTTTACTTTTTAATAAATTTATTTATATAAAATTATTACGATTAATACATTACTTAGATTTTTACTTGTAATTTGATTATACTTTTTAACTTTTTTCAATAAGTTATAAAGTTTTAAATACATTTTTCATTCTAGAATATTGTATTTTTTATAAACATTTTTGTTTAATGATTTAATTTTTTCATCAATTTTGGGGATTATCTACATTTTTTAAAACTTATTATCAATTGATTTTTAAAAAATTATTTCAAAATAATGAAATTTAAATTTATTAAAAAAATTTTAAATACACAATTCGTGTGCATTGTTTCAGAAACTTTAAACATTTTTATAGAATTTTTCCTAGACAATTATCATTTTTGTTTGCAAAATAAGCTGCTATTATAGGTTTTCATCCTACACTAATTTTATTTAATTTAAAAGTTAAATTATCTATATATTACGAAAAATCATATTAATTTTTTTAAGTACTAATTATTTAGATTATTCATTCGAAATTAATTGTAATTTTTTTTCTTTAGTTATGAAATTTTTAAATATGAAATAAAATTATTTCGTAAATTTTTTAAAAAATTTTTGAGTATATGTTTCTGGAATTATTAAAGATTTTATTTAATTATTTTGCTTTTCTTATTTGCTTAAATTTTCTATTTCATATAATTAAATTATCTGTACTTTTAAAAAATTTAATTGTTATTTATTTTAATTTAATTTTTTATTAATGAAATAATAAATTAATATCTTAATTACTAATTTTAAATTATGCACAAATTTGTTCTTATTTATGAAAAATTTCATAGATGTTTTTAATATTATTTTGTTGCATAATTTTAGACATTTTTTTTTTAATTATTAACGACTCTAAAGTATTTTCCATCTCATTTGCTTTAATTTTAAATTTAATTTAATTTTTTATATAATATAAGTTGTATAACTAGATTTTTTTTATACTATTATCTAAAGTATTCCCTTTATTTAATTTTTTCCTCTTAATTATTTTGAAATAATCATATCAGCACTTAATGCAAAATTTGCATTATCACTTACATAGTTAACAAATGGCAAAACCTTCAAAAATCTACCCACAACCACATATAGCAAACAAGAATATAACTGTGTTTATTTACTGTTTCGGAAGTACACACTAAATACCAATGAAATCCACAATTCATCGCCATATTATCTATCTAATGCTTGATAAAATTCCTTTCTAATGACAATAAATAGATAAGTAAAACATTCTTCAGATAAGAAAACTGTCAATGTGTGTAAAAATACCTTAGTAATCATGTGTGTGTGCTGATATTTCAACTAATGTGGATACATGAAATAACTGTTACTACTACATATATATTTATGAATAAAGATATGTTTGTGCTATATGTAATCTATGTATATTCATATATATATATATTATATAAATAGTGTTGTGGACTCTAATCTAGGCTATATGCCGCTTATCTCTTTCATATTGAAGGAGAAGGTGAGCGAATTTAGCTGGAAGTGCTTCGATAAGTGGAGTATTAAAAGAATATAGATATACAGCTATATAATACCATATATAAAGAGTTATATGGTAAATATAATTTGCAAAAAAATAAAAAAGTTTGAATTATAAAGAAAGCGTATATTAAATATATATATATGGATTTTATTATTATATTATTATTTTAAAATGTGTTGTAAGTCAGTCTGAAATATAAGCCTAGACGTTAACGAAACTTTATTAATTAATCATTTTAGCGCTAATTTTGACTTTTAGATAAATTTTAATATACAAAATATATAAGTGGAATCATTGACGAGTTTTTCAGCGACCTGTTTCGTAAACTTTTTTAATCCAAGTTACGCAAATATTCGCAATTCCTTACGATCTTTTTTTTATCCAGCGCAGCTTCTTATAACATAAGATCTACGATCATACACTTACTAAACTAACTAAACCGTTTAAAATATACTAAACTTAACTGTGAAAGCACAACCCCAGATGTGAGTTGAGTTATGTTCTCGAGCGTGCATCCTATTTACTCAGTAACTTTTAGAGAACTAAAGTTTTGAGTGTTTACTCTTCATATAAAGCGCTAGCCGTATGGTACGTACTTTTGATATTCAATACAATAACCACTGATCTAATGCCGTTTCTTATGAATTTGATAACTTCAAAACTAATAAAAGCGGGTTTTGAGGTTAGGTGCGGTTAAGTAGATCAATATTTCTTGCCGGTGCTATATAATCCTTCAGATTTTCAACCTAATTATTGCTTTCATAACAAATCTCTCTCATCAATCGTACAACCATCTATTGCATAAGCAATATTTTTCAATCGACTCGGCGTCTCTGCCGCTCTCCGCACATTAAAGTATTTCAAAGC